GCCCTGCCCTCATGTCCCCTATCTCTCTGCCTCCATCTCCCCCATCTCTCTGCCCCCATGTCCCCCATCTCTCTGCCTTGCCTCTATCTCTCTCCATCTCTGCCTCCATCTCCCTCCAGTCCTCCCCTCCCTCTGCCTCCCCCCTCTCTCTCACACTGATATTCATTTGTGGTATATTCGGTTGCCATGGGAAACCTAAGAAAGAAGTGAGTGTACCCTTCAAGACTTCAGCATTTTTCCCTCCTCCCTCCCTCCTGCTGTCCCCCTCCCTCTCCTCCTCTCCTCCTCTCTTCTCCCTCCCTCCCCTCTCTCCCCCTCGCCTCCTCCTCGCAGCAGGAGAGGACTTGGGTGAGGAGCTGCTGCCGCCTGAGCTGGGCCAGGACCTGAGACCCCATTGCTACCACTGCCGCCGCCGCCGCCGCCACCACCGCCTCTGCTACTGCGGGGACCTCCCTGAGACCAGGCCAGGGACAGAGCTTCGCTGGCCAGAGGGGCTCCCTCTGCCCACAGACATCTGGTAAGGACAGGGTCCTTCTGACTGTGTGTGAGTGCGTGGCTGGATGTGAGCAGGGCTCACATGACCTGGCCTTGAAAACCCGTGATGTAGCCCAGCCTCTGCCTCCTGTTCGTCCCTTCCTGCCTTGCCTGGGCCCCTGCCCCCAGCTGCAGGCACCTCCGCTCTCCTCCTCCTTGGCTCCCCTTCCACGGGGCCTGTGAGGCAGCTGGCAGAGAGGTGGGCCTTTGGGAGCTGGGACAGGTCCACTGGGGAGGGTGGGGAGAAAGCCCCTGCTGGCTCAGAGACCCCACTCCTACCCCTTCGTCCAGCGGAGAGACTGAACCAGGCCTGCCTGTACCCCAGCAGGGCAGGGAGCATCTGTGCCCTGGCGGGGGGTGGGTGGTGGGGAGCCAGCTTCCAGGGGATGTCCTGGGAGAACCTGGCCTCTTCCTTCTTGAATGGGGGCCTTTCCATGTAGAGAAGGGCAGACTGCGGGGCTGGGAGTGCGCTGGGGGCAGGGAAGCACCAGCAGAGTCAATACCAGGCCTGATCCAGTGTCATTGAGTTTTGCAGGAGGCAGGAAGGCAGTCTGACACTAGGAGGCCGAGGGCAGGCAGGCCGGCTGGCAGGAGCTGTTCTGTCCCGACTAGGGCTGGTGGCTGCCCTGGAGAGGAGAAGCCAAGGCTGTCCCTGTCACCGTGGCTGTATTGGTGGTGGCCACGTGGAGGGAGCTGTCCAGGCAGGGCGCTGAGTGACGGTGGTTGCCGTGACAAGGGAGCCGCCTCTGTGGTCTCCATGGAGAGAGGAGGAGACAGAGGGAGGAGGCTGGCTGTCTGGGCTTGGGTTGGTGGTTGCTAAGGAGAGGGAGATGCCGTCTCTAAGATGTGGTGGTCCCCACGTGGAGGGGCCGTGACTGTCAAGATGTCAGAGTTCCCCACGGAAGGGCTGCTGCTGGGTGCTCTGGAGGGGGCTTGTGTGGGGACAGTGGGGGTGGTGGGTGCTCCGTGGAGGACGGTGGGAGAGTGAGGGGGGAGGGGCTGTTGCCGTGGATTTGGTGTTGCTGGCACAGCTGAAGCAGGGTTTTTTGGAGGAGTGTTGAGGCACACTGGGTGGGTCTGAGCTGTGCTCCCCACTTCCGTTGCTCATCCTGCCCCGTCCAGCCAGACCGGAGTCCCTGCTCTACCACTGGCATCGCTCCTCTCATGGTTTCTCGTACCTGTCCTTCCCTTCCGCTTCTGTGACCAAGCTCTCCTGCCTCTGCTTTGTGCGCCCTCCCTCCTCAGGGCCTTGGAGCATACAAGTCCCCCATCTGGACGCATGCTCCCTCCTTGTCCCCAAATGGCTTCGTCCCCATCCTTCCATGTTTGCTGAGCTCCTGGAAGCCCGGCATCAATACCTGCCTTTGAGGTATCAGAAAAGGAAAGTGACTTGCCCACGGTCACATAGCATGCGCTTGCTGGGACTAGGATTTGACCCCGGGCACCTGCCCCCCCAAATGTCCAACTCACCAGGCCTAACTCCTCCCCTTGGAGCCTGCCCCTCTCCCCCCGCCACGACCACCCCACTCAGAGCTGTCGCTCTTCCCCCAGTCCCCAGGTATTCTCCCCAAGCACACGTTTCATTTTAATAACAGGGGGAACCAGCGTGGAAGAGCACCGAGTTCTGGGTTTGAATCCTGGCTCTGTCACTTACAGCTGTATGGTTCTGTGCCTCAGTTTTCCCTTCTGTAAAATGGAGACGATGTACATGCCTCTCAGGGTTTCTGTCACTTGGGATAATGTATGGGATGCCCTGGCTCCTGGGACACAGACTCTCAGTAAGTGGTAACCACCACCATCATCACAATTCCTTTAAGAATGATTTTAGAATGATTTTCTGACATGCCTGGGACAGACAGGGTGCCTTCTCACCAGAGATTGGCCTCGTGGTGTCCTTCTGTGGGATCCTTGAGCATTGGAGGTATTGGGCTGATGTTGTGGAAGCAGGAAGTGGGGGGCTTGGAGTGGAGGAGGGCCTCCCAAGTGACCACACAGCACTTTGGTTGTTGAGGCAGGACAGAACCAGGTGTGGCCGGCTCCCTGTCCGGTGCTCCTGCCCACTTACTCCTGGGGCCCATTTGTGCACTTGAATCAGATGGGCCTTGTCCCCCTCAGCAGTTGCCTGAGACCCCGGCCTCCAGGCTTCCTCCCCAGGGTCCGGTGTTCTGAGCCAGCTCAGTCAGCCCTGGCCTAGGGCACAGCGTGTCAGGCAAGTGGCTGGTGGGACCCTGGGAGTAGCAGGAAGTCTGTCCTGTCAACTTTCTTGGCACCAGGGGATAGGCCAGGCAAGGGACTGAAAAGGATATTCAAAGAGGGACATTTGAGGGATTTGGGGAGTGACAGGCAGGATGGCTGCCTTTTGAGTGACAGAGCTCTGAGTTCAGATCCTGGCTTTGCCGCTTTCTAGGTGGGTGGCCCTGAGCACATTTCTCTGCCTTTCTAGGCCTCAGTTTCTTCATCCATGTAATGGGTATGATGAGGATTCACCTTGCCGATATGGGGCAGGGGAATGAAGTTAAAGCACAGGACCTGGTACCTGGGAGGTGTTTCCTGGAGTGGCAGCTGCTCCTTCTAACCTGTCAGCCTTCTTCACGTTTTAGGTTGATCTGGGGAAGCGGGGAAAGAGCTGTCCTGGGTGGCCCCAAATGGCAGCAGTGGGACCAACCACGCACAGACCTCAGTTCATCACAACAAGAGACTTTCTCACAGTCAGAGCTGTCTTGGGATGGAGTGGAGGAGAGGTGCTGAGCACTCTGTATACGGCGAGATCGCAGAAGGCTGGCAGGGGTATAGAGCTTGGGATTACAAGACCCAGGTTCATGTCCTAGGTGTTGCCATTTATGGGCTGTGGGATCTTGGGAGCCTCAGTTCCCCCCACCCTGAAAAATGGGAGGGATAATAGAACAGGGGTTACTTTAAATGAATTCAAAGAGACCTCAGATTCCCTTAAATCTACACAGCATCCCATTTTCCAGAAGAGGAAAGCAAGATGCAAGGAGCTTAAGGGGCTTATAGCAGTAATACCAACACCTGCTCTTTGCCGATTATCTGCCTCACGGCCTGCATGTTCCCACACGCTCCAGGTCTCACTTAATTCCCTGGCCTTTGTCCCTGCTCTTGCTTCTGCAGGAGTGGCTGTTCCTTCTGTGCCCATGGCTGCTACCTGGACTTGCTGTGTGGCTGTCTCCTGTTCCGGCTCATTGTCACCTCTTCAAGGAGGCCCTCCCTGATCACTCTGTTCATTGCTCTGGTTCTTCACTGTCTAACACTGCTAACGCTACTTTGTTTACTTGCTTGTTTATTATCCCCACTCCCACCATTGTAGAGTATCAGTTCCACGCAGGCAGGAGCTTGTTCCCTGCTCTATCCTGAGGGCCTTGAACAGGGCCTGGCACATAGTAGATGTTCAGTAAATATATGGCAAAAGCATGGGTGACCCTGCCAGCTCCCCTGGGAGGTCAGTTTCATCATTCCCCTTTTATGTCCGAGGACAGTGGGACTAAGGAGGCCTGGTAAATTGCCTGTGGACATGCAGCTGGAAGTAGGTGGCAGACCTGGCCCTTGATTCCAGGCTGGGCGCACTCAGGGTCAAGTGCTTTTTCTGCTGCACTACACCGCCGTGCTGGGCAGCTTTGCATTTTAGGCCAGAGAGTTTAAACTTTACTCTGAACACAGAGGCAAAATCACAGAGAGGCTTTTAAATAGGGAGGACTCCTGCCATAAGGAAAAGCTTTCGGTAGCAGCCAGAACTGTCAAAAGAAATCAGCTCAACTGCTCCCTAGCTGTGTGGCCTTAGGCAAATTACTTACCCACTCTGTGTCTCGGTTTACTTGTCTGTAAAATGGAGGTACTATCTTAGCTTATCTCGGCTGGCTTCTGGGAGGCAGTGGGCTTTGAGATTTGATTTGCATCCTGGGCTCCAAGGTCCCCTCCCCAGGATGGAAAAGCAGGCTCTGCTGAATCGCCTCAGTCCTGGGAGGCCTCACTGCCAGCCCTGAGGGATCTGAGATTTTGACTTCTAAAGAGGGGACATTTTAAGTGCTTGGGACACATCGTTTTCTGCTCTGCCAGCCTGGGCTCTCTTGTCCCACCCCACCCCCACCCTCCCTTAAAAAAAGAGAGAAAGTCAAAGAGGGAGGAGAGAGGAGGTTTTAACTGAGCACCTACTATGTGCCAAGGATATTCCTGTTTATAGCCCCTTTTCCAGCTGTAGCAGACGACGCAGAGTAGGATAGTTGTGCCCATTTTACAAATGACCGAACTCAAGTTTGGGAAATGTCTCTGTAGGGCACAGAGCAGGATTTGGACCTAGGCTCAGAGTCTCCTGTCTGTACTGTGTTGGGAGAGGGGAGAGAGTAAGATGTCTAGGATGGGTTTCCTCTGGGGTTACCTGGGGAGTGGGCTCGTGGTCCCAGCCCTGCCAGGATGGGGCTTAGAGTGGCCCAATTTTAGAGGCTGGACCTTGAGGGGTTTTGGATGGACAGACTGCTCCTGCCAGCCTGGCTCCCTGACTCCCCCACACTGCTGGCAGCCTCGCTGGCCCCGAGAATAGATCTGGTGTTGTGTGTGGTTGTCCCAGTGTCTCACTCAAGACCCCATTTGTTTGGGGAGGAGAAAGGGGGGTCTGTGGTGCCCAACAGAGGTGGGATTCATGGATAGGGCCGGGGCGGGGGTAGCCTGCCTGGTACAGGCCAGGCCTGGAGGAGGGCCAGGAGGGAGTGAGAGGAGGGGGCTGGGGTGTGGCTGGGGGTCCTGCTAGGGGCAGGGTCTGGTACCCTGGGTGGGGGGCTGTGTAGATGGGGGTGCAGGAGGAGGGAGGTGGGAGTCCCGCTTTCATGATTCCTGGTCTGAAGGAAGGAGAGTGTGGTAGCCCTGTCCTCAGGGAGCCCCAGGTCTTAGGGGGTACAGGGAGAGGCTGTGCCATCAGGATCCTCGTGAGGGAGACACAGCCCTGACTCCAGGCAGCCTCCTGTCTGAGAGGGG